TTTTTTTTTCCAACAAAAAATATCCAAAAAGTAAAGAGAACGTCAGATCTTCAGGATGAGTCCAGCCAATGTCAACCACCAACTAGAAAAAAACGACTTGCCAACAAACCAGGATCATACTCAGGTATTTATAATACTTTCCAAACAATGGCAACCTACAACTTACTATCGGGTTAATATTTGTATGTAATAACTTGTGCTGGGCAAGTTAACGCGTTATTATCGGGTTAACGCATTCATTAATTAACACCGACAATTATTTTATCGCGCGTTAACACAGTTTTTTTTTTTAAATTATTACTATTTTGAAAGTCTGTTGCTCACTGGCTCTGAATACACATACAGACAGACCATGGGTCACAGGAAGGGCGGGATGTTGATCAGGATTGGCTTGGGATGGGCATCATCACGCGTCTAAACCAATGAGAGCATTTAGGGTGGGCGCTGTGGCGCGATAGCCTATCAGCGTTGAGATGCTTCTCCTGTCATCACTGACATCCTTCCGTTGTTGAATCGGGAAATAAATACTGTAGCCGTCTGTGTTCACCCAGAGGTCTACGATACCTCATATCAATAGAGACCGGACCAAACTATGTGTATAAATGTTTGTGTAAACCATCCGGTACAAACAATGAATAAACGCTGCCGTATTTACGCCTGTGTGACGTTATGTTGAGTGTTGATGGAGCTGCTACAATGTTAGCTTAGCCTAGCACCGATCAATCCAGACTCCATTGAGAAAACAAGTATTTTAAAAGTTATTTTCTTGTCGTCTTGTGGAGAGAACTAACAAAACATGAATTCGGACTTTTTACAAATCGGAATCATTACGTAAATATTTCGAAGTCTCTCTTTGTCCGTTTATTGCAGTTAAATCAGTTTATTTAGTGTTCATACAGCTGTAGTAAACAGCCGACGTGTGGCTCACTAGACACAGTGAATACAGCTCGATGAAATCCACGGAGCTGCTCCGGACTGTTATGAACCAGACAAGACGGCATTTAGTTTCCTGATATCTGGGACTTCCACAACACGTACTAAGCAGTCCAATCTGGGGAAGATTTTCGATTCAATTATAGTGGCTTAAATTATTCATAGAATATTATTTCAACACACATTGCTTTTTTTGTTGCGTTGATTTCATAAAATATATATAATATAGAAGAAATATTTTAACTGCTACTGTGTACATGTAATACTGTTGTTAAAAATAACCTTATTTGTTTAAAGTGTTTACAAACTGTGAGGAATTTAAGTTGAAAGCGCTCCTAGTGCTGGATATTATGTGTCACAGTGTGTTTACTTGTAGGAGTTTTAACAAAGGAGTGTGGTTGAGTGTCTGTGTGAGGGGTGAGATGTCTGATCAGAACAACAGGTCAGGGGCCCAGGAGGGGTTTATTGGACTTCAGCCAATCATTGAGCTGATTGATATGCAATGTGAGACTTTGGGGGGAAAAAGGAGATGTGAATCCCCGGAGATCCTCAGACCTCCTCGGCATAGCAGTCTGTCGTGTGGTGCGGACGGGGCCTCACTTTCATGATATATTTCATTTGTTTTGTTATTAATAGTGTGATTCGGTTTGTAACTGTTTTTATGTTTGTATGGATAATAAATCCATTTGATTATGACTTAAACCTGCTGTTGTGTTTTGGAGGCGATTGAGAGCACATGGCTGCAGAAAGGGGGGCGGTTTCAAAAGATGTGGCCCTAACAAAACCAAATGTTATTGCACTTTTGTTCATATAGCAGTACTTTTATTGAATTTTGAGCATTACAATGCGATTAATCGCGATTAAAAATTGTAATCGTTGCCCAGCACTAGCAATAACATTTTTACTTAGCTTACTTACATAGCAAATGTCTGTTTCTATATCTTGGCCACATACAATACTCTCATTTGCTGCCGTATGTAATCTTATCAGACAACCCCAATCAGTCAACAGCATGCATGCAGGTATACATGGCAACAATGCGTATGCTTCAAAGTAAATAACGTAACTGTGGCCTTTAACTGTATGATGTTTTAAATCCAGACCATGGGTTATCCTTTTACTAATCTGACATAGTAGAAGCCTGATGATACACTCTGAAGCATCCTACATGGACCTAGCAGAGAAAGTTCCTCTCGCGCTCTCCTCATTGTGCATTACCGTTTACTTGATACACTGGTTCATGGTTCCTGCTGAACAGTTCTTTACTTTCACTCTGACAGAAGAAATCATACTGTCTGATGTGAAAGACATCATGAGATGTGTCCATCAGAAAATACCTCCCCAAGACAACAAGCTCAACAAGTTCCTGACGTAAGTATAAATTTATTACATTTTCCATATTAATATGTTATACGGGCCTGGTTCCACTGCTGACCAGGGGCCAGTTTCACGAAGAGATTTAAGACTGATAGTGTTGAGCCAGGCATCATGGGTTTGTCCGGCCGTACGTACGTACGTATGTCCATTTCTCACCAACGTCTTGAAGGAATATTTTTCAAATTCTGCACAAACATCCGCTTGGACTCAAGGATGAACTGATTAGAAATTGGTGGCCACAGATGAAGGTCACTGTGACCTCACAAAACACATTTCTGATCATAACTGAAGAATTCAGCTGATTATGACAATTTCACATAAATGTCTAATAGGATAAAATGATGAAGTGATGACAATTTGGAAAGACATGGATGTAAACTACAACTTGACTGTTTGTCTGAGGGATTCAGTCGTGAGGCGATAATTCTAGTTCTGTTTGAAAAAAAGTCTTAATTTACCCCAAATATACAGCAAATAACTTCTACTGATAGTACAATATGCTGAAGAGGGCTGTTCATAGACGGATCTCTTTCTGATTTTAACACATTCTGTCAGTGTTTTTATGTTTTTGAAATAAATGAATTAACCCACACATAAACTCTTGTACAACAGGGAAAGAATCAGTGATTTGAAGACGGACAAGAGGGAGGTGGTTGGTGTCTTTGGCAAAACCGGGGCTGGAAAGAGCTCTTTGATAAATGC